GAAACATTAATTTGGCTTGTTACTTTTTGCTTTTTCAGTAAGAGCCACTTGCATTTAACTTCAAAAAAAACACAACCCTATAGTTCCATGAAAAAGAAGACAAAATAGACTTAAGCTTTCACTAAAATGTACTTTATTTTTCCCCCATAAAAGGAAACTTCTTTTGCAGTTTAAAAAGCCAACAAATGGTTCAATACTTAACAGTGACCTAAAGACTAGAAATAATAGTAATTAAAATCACCAAATGATCAAGTAGAAGTGAAATGAAATTTTAAAATCCATTTCTACAGGTAGAGATTTGGTTTATAAAATTTCATATGTTGGTATGACATTATTCCCTCTTACCTTGTGAAGCCATTTAAGTTCCAAAAATTCAACACATTCAAGATGTTCTTGAGTTGCCAAGTATTAGAAAGTCAAAAGAACCTGGGTTGGTTACATATACCAATCAATTTAAAATCTTAGTGTACACAGTGCTTTCATGTAAACATTTGTGCAAACTATGACATAATAAATTCCAACCCCAGCCATGTAAAAAGTATCTAAAGAAGAAGTGGTTAGCTCCACAGGCACTAAAGAACTATAAAATGAAAGTTAAATTTCCCCACTTTTAAGGCAATGTATTTACAAGTAGTAAATTCATAGAATCATAGAATGTTTCACAAAAAATAAGCTAGTATCTAAATCATGCCAAATCCATCAATAAGGAATGCAAGATCACATTTGGCATTTAATTTCACTTTCAAGAAAAGCAATTATAAATTATTGTAGGAATCCAATTGAAAATCAATCCATCCTCTGCTTCAAGTGTGCACCTGATGTGTTGTGTGAGAATAAATAGTATAAAGTTCTTCAAAGAGGTACCTGCCTACTTTGGCTCTTTCCGCCATCAGCAGCAACTTCCCAATAACCTGCCAATAAGGCAATTAGCTTTTATGTCTCCACCCCTTTATATAAAACCCCTACTCTAAATGCTGATTAATTTGACATTTTGTTGAAGGTTTTAAAAATTTTGCCTAACAAGATTCTCAATAACTACAATGATAAATTGTCTGAGAGTTGGAAGAAAATTGTAAAATTGTCTAATCCCCATACTTTAATATAATATAAAAAAGATGTCATTCTCCATGGAGGAAGTAGGGCCCTGCAGCACTTCAAATTCAAAGGCAAAAAAGTATTCAGGGTATATATAAGGCACAAATGTATCATCAGTTTGCATCGCTTCAAAGTAGTTAAGCTCGTTTCCCAACGTCATGATGTAGCTGTGCGAGTTCAGAAAAATATACTTATTTAAGGTGTTGTAGATAGGCATTACATTTGTGTCTCTGCATGAACTGAAGCACTATTTTGCTTTTAAATCCAAAGTGTTCCATGTTTATTGCATTTTTGGATCTCAGCAGAGTTGGACTAGAAATGTATGAAAACAGAAATGTTACTGCTTATATAATATGGTCTTATTCTTTCAATTTGCCCTGCTGCAGTCCCATGTGCTATTCTGGAGAATCTCTTCTCAAAAGTGGCTTTTGATTTGAAAGACTGCACCTCAAAAGCTTGAAATAATCTACATTACGTTTGTAATATGGATACTGTGGCATTATTTTTATTTAAACTAATAATTTACAACTGCAAAGAAAGCAATATTTGATGGAAATGAAAATGTATTAATAGTTTGCATCAGCATGTGTATGTTTGCTCATGGTACAGTATGTTCACATACATAAGGAGTATCAAAGTCTTATATAAAATTTTTCTAATGTCCTTTTTAAAATACCTTGTTCTCAGATTAACTATCTGGTTGTTAAATAAATCCCTATTATTATTATTCTTCCTTCCTCCCTCAGATGAAAATGTTATTTTCATTTAAACAATTTTGCCTATTTCTCAGATTTTTAAGATTGACAAACAGTTGAAGTATGCACATTTTACAGAGTATGTTTAATGCTTTTACATTAAAAGCTGTATTTTAAGGCTGTAAAATCTTACATCAAACAAGTAAACAATGTGAATAATACCCTACATATAAAAAATAGTAGTAAGCTGAAATTGGAGTGAGAATCTAACTGCTATCCAATATTGTATGTACAAAAGAGTTCTTAAAACTAAAGTCATTATATACATTTAAAACCTGAAGTTCATATTTGACAAAACTTAAACAACCAAACATAGTCTCGGAATAATCAAAAGCAGTCAAGTATACACAATCTCAAAACTAACCAGGATTTTCACTCTAAAATTAATTGGGAAATCTAAACATAAGTAACATGCATTGCATTTCCACTGCAATATTTGCAATCAGGCTGTTTGGACAGACACATGATAGCTAATGGGCAAGATTTTAAATATGACAACAAAAGAATGCATATCTGCTTAGTATTTGAAAACTTATTCTAAAAACAAAGCTATCCACTATATGTATTGTTAGCTCAATACACTGAGAGAAAAGCTATCTAATAAATTCACTGTTCTAGCAAGTTTAAATTAGTTTCAGGAGTACCATCTGCTGCAACCATGCACATTAAGAAATGTGACAGTGACATTACAGGCAGATGCCGATATACCTAAGGACATTAAGCAATTAATTTAGTTCTGTTTTGCTTTTCAATTGTATTGATAAAAACATAAAATATCTATTTTTAATTACGAATATCTATATACAGAATATCAAGTACCTACTTGGACACATTTTCCTGCCCAGAAACAGAATAAATATAGAAATCCAAACAAACTTCAATAGAAGCCTAGAAAATATCCAGATTTTTGTTACTGTCTGGTGAGTATGCACAATAATATATCCTGAGTTTGCTCACAGACATATCACAACTGGAATGCCTTCATTTGTCTTAATATCTTTGGAATTCTTTAAATGTTAATTAAAATTAATTCCAATTGGAAAATAATTTTTACAATTTACTACTACACATCAAACTTTCACACTACATATATAAAAAGTTATTTAAAAAACCATTCATACTTTGATTTTTGGCAAATCCACTGCCAGCAATGGAAATCTTGAGAAGAAAACATAAAATAATCTATACACAGCAATAACACTACTGTTCAACTGTAAAATGTTACACTAAAGTAAGTTATGATTTTAAATTATTTTCATTTTGGATACTTGAAATTGTCCAAATAAAATTTATCCATGATGCATATCTAACTTACCTGGCTGTTTCTTCAGCTTTTGTTTTTTCCAGTTTTTAGTCCAGATTCTTTGTGCATATTCTAGCTATTTAAAAATGCATTACTGCACTGGAATTCTTAGGGCTACTACAACCACCCTATATAATAAACAAGCCATTCCAAGTATGTGAGCAACTTCCCATTTTCTGATTATATACCTAATCAGTTCCGCACAAAGGAAACAACTTAAAACCTTAAGTATAACTTTTAAATAAAAAGATTATATGGATTCAAACATCTTAATATTTTACTTCAATCAATTTTTACTTCTGAACTACCTATTTATTTATACATATATACACGCATGCGGGCGCGCCACACGCATAAACAATGAAATTGGAGGCTAAATCAAAGATAATATTGACATTTCCACGTACTAATTAGGTAAATTGATCATAATAAGCTTAACAGAAGCCAATTTCACATAAAAATGTGTTAATCAATAAGACAAACCAAGAATGGATCATAAGAATGGCCAATGTACAAAAATGATAAAGGCAGCTGTTATAAAAATATTTTCAGTGAGCATTAACATATCCGTACAACTCGTTATTAACAACTAACAATTAATTTGAAATAGACAAGTCTATACAGTAGCTTAAGTTGCACTGACTGAACTAAGCACATAATAAACTGACTTTTACAACAATGTAAATTAAATCATATTGGATAACCTTCAGAGAGAGATATTTTATTTCTACTCTGAGCAGGATTATGTATAGAACCAGTATAATTTGATTGTTTCCATGTGCCACTAATAAATGTACTTAATTACTTAAATGTAATTCTACTTTCAAAGGGACTTTTTCTGGGGTAAACTGAAACAAAAATCCAGATAATACCTTATATAACTGTATATAACTGAAACACATATATATGTTAATATATATGCTTCATTTATTTTAAAAACTGTAGATGTGTCAAGGATGCTTTTTAAAATTATTACAGTTATATTAATTAAAAAAACCCAGACTGATCATGGTTTTTATCAAGTTATAACTGCAAAATATATATGGTGTATTTAATTTCATATCTCAGCAAATTTATAATCCAATTTATGATGATATTGATTAAATATTAAAAAGGATTTTCATTAATTTGCAAACCAATTACAGTAAATTTGGGGAAATAGTAAATACTTAAAATGTTGATAGCTTTGAAAGAAGAAATTAGGCAGGTGCAAGTAAAAATCTGAGAAGTCTGTTTTTATCAACAAACAACATATTGCTGAGCATGACTATAAATCTGTTGATTCTGGAGTACATTTGTTTATTAGGACAAACTATATTTTATTGTTTAAAGAAATTTCTGGATTTTTTTATTTTTCATGTTTTTTTAAAGGGAACTCTTTTATATCTACTTTTAGTTGACATACTATGTATGTATGTATATGCTATCAGAACATCTGGAAATAGAACATAACAAAAAAGGAAAAAATGCCCAATTTTTTTTCTAACATTTTGTAAATAAATATGGGGTATTTAGTTCTGTATATTGCAACAGAAGTCTTTTGTACATTTTAATTCAAGTTAAGCCTAAATCTTCTCCAATGGAGTTTCAATCTACAAGGATCAGAAACACTAATTTTTTGGTACACCAAAAGGCATGTTCACAAACCATCTATGTAAAACTGGCTACAAGCTAATAATGTGATTTCTATTCTTGTTTCATCATAAAGTTCATCAAATACAATAAATTGATGCATTTGTAAAAAATATGCATTTTGTTAGAGACATTTAACACCATTAAATATTGCTGAACACAAGACGCTCCCTGAGGTGTAAACATCAAATAACTCGAACAGATTTACACATCAGCCCCATCAAACAGTTTATTACAACACTACATCTATTATAATCAAATTGGTGCGCTTTACAGACATTATCTTGAACATTTAAACAAGAACCAACTACTATAAAAACAAGCATTTACTTGACTTTTTTCCAATTTCTGCACATTTTATTGTCAAATATATATAACCAGTAATAGTTGCAAAAAGCTATATGTTTTAAATCACACAGGTTCCTTCAAATAAAAACAGCTAAGCAACATAAAAAGTAAGAGAGCTACTGGTTACCATATATGCAGATTTGCTTTATTCAGATCTATTCCTGTTCAATTTATCCATGAATCCTTTACAGCTCTGTTCGATCACAAGAAGTAAACTGCCGGACAAGCCTCTTTCCACGAAGTTACATTTCTTTTCTGGTGAGGTGCTCCTCTTCCTTCAGCTGTAATGTGTTAAAATTTGTGATGTAGATTTTGCTAGATCCCACAGCAAGCAAAAATGGTGGTTTAACTATACATACACAATTTATACACATCAAATCTATTTCAGCATGTAAATAAAAAATAGAAATAACAAAAATTTGTTTGAAAACCTTCTGAATTGCAGGTTGATCCTTTAAAAATCATTTTACAGGAATATATACCTAATTTTGTAAAAAGTAAACATAAATAGGAATGTTTCCTCAGATCAACATTCAAAAAAGTGCGCAGAGAATTATGCATCAGCCAGATCATTTTATTACATTGTTAACCATTTTAATTAAAAAAATGAAACTATGTGAACAGCTAAATAATAAAACTGTTAAAAACAGAAATTAATCTGACAGATAAATTATAAATAGTTCCTTTCATCTATGTAGCTTTTTCTCCATGGGTAAAAGTCAGATAGACAGACAACTAGATATGTATATGAATTAAGAGAAATGTGGAAAAATGAAATGAACTTGACTCACTTCTAAACATAGCTAGCACTCAAATGTGACTGATTCTCAGGTGCAGTCATATAGGATATTTATAAGCAGCAATCACATAGTAAGTGTTTGGCACTTTGAAATGCCAAAGTCAACTCAATAACAAAATTACTAAAGACTTTACCACAGTTACATAACTGCAAAGATCACATGGAAGACTTACTTTTGCTTCGGATACCATGAATAATTATTTAATTTATACTGTGATACAAACAACACTCCCCCCCCCAGTTTAATAAAACCAAGAGCTAACATGTTCTTTCTTTTCTTCAGGCTGTATCAGAAACTATTTTTAAAAGTTTGCTCCGTTTAACAAAAAAATGTGCCCTAACACATGAATTTCGGAAACAAAATACTCAAAATTTATACTCCATATCTTTAGATTCTAGGTAATTAGCTTTTTAAAAAGTTCTACACTTTTTAATAATAACATTATTGTTGAATATTCTATGTCAAATCTACAGTAAATACACACACACTGCTTGGTAACTATTATAACTGATATTAAAAATGATAAAAAATACATTTATACATCACATATTTGTTCATTCCTATGCCCATGCTAGCAGAAAGCAAGCTATACCATTTTTAATAGTGTTTACTTTTAAATATGTTTCCAGTCTTAAAACAGAAATTTTAAATCTTACTGTAAACTAAGTCACGCTGAATCTAGTGGAACATGGTTCCCAAAAAAATATTAGGATGTAGCATAAAACATCAAAGCAATAATTTTTTAAAAAAATAGAAAATGTAAACTATTTGGAAAAGTACATATTGATATATTGTGTGCGCAGATATCTAGATAAAGAATTTCAGAACACAAAGCAATATGCAGCTGCCATAAGGTCTCTCTTACTACTGATACAGTTCAAATTAGAGAAATTAATTTAATTAATAAAAATGTCAGATGCCCTTTTCTGGTGATTCCTTTTCTGCCACAATGGGTTTTAAGCAGGTGAGAATTTAGTTTTCACTTTGAGTATTAAGTATTTGGATTTTTCCCCCTGTTGTACCTTAAAATCTTTTTAAAATTGATTTTATTAACAAGATGAATCAAAATGTGCATAAATTGTGTAACTTTAAGTTATAATGCACAGCTGGAATTTCAGTTTCAGAGGAACAAAATAACAGCTGCAAAATTATTAGAATTTTCCATTCTGAATACAGTGTCCATTAAGTACCTAAAAAATAATAAACATGAAGAAACATACCAATAACTATAATGAACTATTTCTAAAACACTATCTTGTTGGTAAACACATTTTTACGATTATCAGTAACAAATTTATGAACAGACTCCAAACTTCTCAGATTCTATTCTAAACTATTTCAACATGAATAAATTAATAAATTTAGACTAACATTATTTCCATTGGTAGGTAATATTTTAAAAAAAGCTATACTAGCATGTTGTGGATTGGGATTACTATAACACAAAATCAGATTTAAACTCTGGTTTATATACTGGAAAAATATTCAGTGACTTAAATTTTTATAGGAGCATTGCTATTTAGAGATATTTTTCAGTATTTATATTAAAATTATTACAATGGTAGTAGAGTTTTGATATTACCAATATTCTTTCATAAAAAGAAAATATCTCTTTCTTCTACTAAATACGTAATATTTTCTGCAACTGTTTTTATTGGCCAATTATTTCAGTGGAGATGTCTGCTGCAATATGTAAATGCAAGTCAAAAACCCAATAGCTTTCGCAATTATTCAAAGGTTTCACTGTGGCTTCACTAAATAGCAATTCAGTCCTTTTGAATAGTTCCCATATGTTAATAAAAATATAAAGATAAGGCAGGATTAGGAACTATGAAAGTGATTAGGCAACTTCTCATCCTCTCAATCACTTCCTACTTTCATTCTTTAGAACAATTTATTTTCCTGTCTAATAATATCTTATAATATCAAACCAGGTAAATTACTTCTTTTGATTTTTAAAAGAGCAGGCAGAATTTATGGACATTATGGAAAAGGACAGATGCAGTGTCACACAACACACAATCCCCAAAACCTGACCTTGTTTTTTACAACTGCAAGCCCATGACATTTTAGTTTATTGTAATTCCTTATATTCAAAGCCTGACACCACCACCCCAAAACATTTTCAGTGAGATTAATACCCATATTGTAACATAAACACTTATTTTTCAAGCACACATCACACCATAGTTTCAAATCAATCAAATCAAGTCTTAGGTTTGTTGTATTTTAATGGATAAATGTATACTTGTATAAATTCGTTGCAAATAAAATACTTTGACTTTTCTCTTCCAAGGAGACTCTAACAGTATTTCAGCTTTTGGGAAGGAAAATGTATTCCAACAAAAGTCCAATTATGTATGTGTGCTTTTTCTGTTTTACTTTTACTTCTAAATACTATTAAATATTATATAGTTGTATATACAAAATGAAACTTCGGTGCTATGTCTTACTTTGCTTTTACTCGAGTTAAAAAAATATGTATTAGTTTTGTCTAGAATTTGTTTATTCTGCTACATTACAAGAGCTCAAGTTGGGTGACTCAATTCTGACTAAGTTAAATTCTATGCATCAACATGGGATTCCTTTGATATGGCCATTTCTCCCTTCATGCAAGGGATGATGCCAGGAAGCCACATTTTTTTTATCTTCAATCCAAGCTAGTTTCCAAGCTGGACTTGCATTAGAGGAAAGCAGCTTCCTACTCATTTATGTGTCAGAGCGCAAAAGCAAAAGAGATATCATATTGATGCAGTTATGTGTGGCTAGAATCTGACTACCTAATGCAATCAGTCACAATTTCTCATAATTTCAATTGATAAATTCTACTGAGTGCACAAAAATAATCTTAAAATTTTATATATTTCTATATATTTTCACACTGAGATATAAGAGAAACTAATGAAGCTAAAACTGTAGCAAATAAAATAGAACAATACTGTTGAATTGCGTTAAAACCACAGTAAGCAAGAAAGGCACTCCAATATATTTGTTGAAAAATGAATTTTAACCCCACGATCTTTGTCACTTTCAAAATCAAATTAGTTCACATAGGAAAAGCAGTTCAAATCAAATTTTGTTATGAATCTATTAGAAAAGGGTGATTGTGTTCACAACCACAATTATGAAAAAAATGAAGGAACTGGACTAGCATAAATATAACAGCAAAATTACTAACATGTACAAAATTGTTATTCATTTTGCCAATATAGGTGTTCACAAAATAATTCTTACTAAAACTGGTAGATGATTAATTATATTTACAATTATTCATATTTTTTTAACCACCAGTACTAAAGAGTACCAGTAAAATAAATATTATAGCAAAAAAGGCATAAACATACAATCATCTGGAATAAGAATTTCAGATACAAATATCAAGTCTTTTAGGTTTAAAAGAAATGCTTTCTCGCAAAGATTTTAAACAAAAATTTGGATTATAAAAGGGAGACATAGTTGTTGCCAACCATCTAATCCAACTAGCTGCGCTCCCTATACATTTCACTGATTTCAGAACAAATTAGCATTGCCTCTTAAGACAGCAGTAACAGTATTGACTAATCTAGCCATAGAATCTACTCATTTAAATGAATATAGGTATTTAATACATCTGCCCAATCCATTTAATATTACAATTTACAAGGGTCATGAACAGGATGTAACCAACTTAAGTTCTAAATATAGGCTCAGTCATCTGATATGCATTTGGTACATAATTATTCTGATCTTGTATCTTTATTTATATAGTTTATGCAAAATAGATAAGAGGTGAAGTAGTACAACCGTTATGTTTGGATACAAGTGTTTATTCTGTTCTGGTAGATTCCATTTTATTATGTGCAATGCCTGTACATAAAATGCTGAGAAGATGGAGAAATTTTGTTTCCACTTTTCATTAGGTATTGCAGCCTACCCCATCTGGTGCAGCCTACATATGTTAGATTATAATTTCCATCATCCTCAGACAGTATAACCATTTCCTGTGCTGACTGGAAAATGCAAGCAGTAATCCAACATATCTGGAAGCCACTAGATGGTGAAAGCTACACTGAATGTGCAAATACAAATATTCTTCCCAAGAATGAAATGTTAGATTTTTTTTCTACACACAAAGACAGATTAAGAACACGCTTTGTAAAAAAACAAAACAAAAAGAAGCCACACTTTAAATTTTACACAAATCTGACCAAGTATTATGTGCATTCAAACTACTTTTAAACTATAATGATGTTTGCTTATAGTGGTCTGAGAACACAGATAAATTGTCAAATGAAGCTCAAATTTATCAATGCTAGGTTGATTCATCCTCTTTTTAATTTAATACTGTATCAAAGTTGCAAGAACAAATCACTGTAAGCAAGTAAGTAAAAATAACAAATTGATAACTTTCAAAATCTGTTGTTAGTTAAATATCTTGTTTGTAATATATATGATATGCATCAGAGCTTAAGAATTTTTAATTTCCTGCATTTTTAAATGCT